CAGACTGTACAAGATCAGAGTAGATTTGATTCAAGACATCCAGGTTAACAGCCCTGCTTTCATGAACAGTGCCACAGGTCCCTTAAGGACCCATGTTAAATCAGTCATATCTTGGTTCAAAGCAGGGGCGTAGCCACGGGTGGGCCTGGGTGGGCCCAGGACCACCCTGATTGATCCTAGGCCTATGTTACGCATTTGATTTTTTTCATCGTTTGTCATTTGCTATTGGCTCGCTTTATCTTTTGTGACCAATAAGAAAATAATGTAAATGTAGTGGGGTGGTGCAGGCGTAGCCGTAGTCTAATTGGCTATCCTTGACGTCAGAGCTATCTAGCGCTAGGTTTTTGGTTTATTAGCCAACATGGCAAAACAAATGCATATATCTCAGTTTTTCAAAAAGCCGCGTGTAGATGACCTGACCAGTCCCGAAACAAATAAGACACATGAGATGCTACAGGCATCTTGGGTTTTAAGGAGTATAGCCTGGCTTCCCGAATACAAGTGTTTCTGGAACACAAGGGGCAGCGCACGCGTTTGCTTGTAGCAGCTCGATACGTGCTCGACCTGAAGGAGTTAAGCACGAAGAGGTTCTAAAATTTCTCCTACAAACAAATTACAAGTTTTGGAATGCATGAATAACATTAAGATAGTATTGACGGATAGATGCGATGGATAGATGTGCATTTTACAGATAACTATTCATATTGCCTCTAAATGCCCTGCAGTATTTTTAAGTGAACGACATTTACAGAGCTAAAATACATCCGAAGTATGTATTTGACGCTTTTATTAGCAGACCATTCTTGCAATGAAAGGTACGATGAATTGGTTAGCAGTGTAATATGACTATACCAATTCAGTGTTAAGCCTTGTGGGATTTAAGTCACGAATGACCAAATTAGGTGTCTTTTGGCATCGAAAATAGAATTCTAATTTTGTGGGTTTCATACAAGTTTAAAAGCATCATGAAGGATCAAACAAGATCTTCAGAACTTAATTTTTCAATACCTTCGCAGTTTTTATTCTCACGGCACCTCACTCGATACTACCCTTGGGGAGATGCATTTACTCCAACCTCTGAAACCCATATGTGCGTGCACGTTCTTCTGGTATGTTATGCTCAAGTCCGCTGAATATTTAAAGGCAAGGTGAACCCTGCATGGTATTTTAAACACCATATTTCAGATGGACTTTGAATCTGCGCTGTGTTCATTGTGTTTTGCAATAAAATATTAACTTCAGAGTAACTCGTAAAACTACCGAACAGTCTAAAAGCAGCTATATGAAGTACTTAGAACTGTTACAAGCAACTAGTGAAAATTAGCTTTTTCTTTAAAGACAAAGTCCTCATGAGAGACCTTTGCAAACTAGCTGTCATTTGAACTGGAATGTGCCGACTCTCTAAGTGACGAGATTATCGCCATATTCAATTCCAAGCCCCGATGCCTGCGTCTGGTCTAGAAGGCCAAAACCTCACAACAGAGGTAGGCACTGATTGTTTTTTGTGTGTGTCCGCCGTGGCACAGTGGCGTTCGGCAGCCTAGGTAATTGTTGCTTAACCTGTGTGTGAGAGAGACAGTATATATATATATAAGGTTCCGCTAATTCTTTTGATTATACTGCTCAAGGATTGGATTGTAAATTGGAGGGGTGCCCCTATGCTGGCAGGACGGTCAGTTAGACTTACTTTGGCACAGGCCCACCCAAAAATCAATTCCCGGCTATACCCCTGGTTCAAAGTCTTAGCTGATGGACAGTACCTTCTACGGCACAGTACCCATTCTGTGGTACTGGTTTTGAAATTCTAGACCAGATGGAAGAGCGCCACCTACTGGTCCACCAACACCACTTCTTCAGGAGCCGCTTGTCCCCCTTCACTCGCTGACGTCTACAAGACTGTTCTGGTGACCGGGCTAGACCACACACTCATAACTCACTCCCGTGTACACTGATAAAACCGTTTTGTGCGCTCCTGCAGCGCATGGGCCGCCTCCTGCCTGTAGAAATTTTCAGTCCCTTCGTCCTGGGGTTACCTCAGAGCCGGTGTGATCCTCGTCCTGGTCGGGCGGGGGTTTCGAAGGGGGTGGTGGTCGCTCTCTCTGAAACGAAAACAAACACCCCGGGGTTCAGTTCTGCCTCAGGCTGTGTGCAATCCATTTTGTTATGGACATAC